CAACGAGGCGAATGAAAAGAAAATTAACGTAATAGGATATAACGTTGCACAGTATAATACCGAATTCGTTTTCCGTTTCTTTTTGTGACGTACCGTGGAATGTTGCACAATTATCAACGAAAAACTTGGTGACAAATTGATAGTATGGTACCAATCGCTAATCGTCAGACAGGAACAAAAGAAACAATTACCAAATAAAGTATGTACTTTAAAATGTACAAGGTGATTCTGTAACTAAGACATGTCGAAGCTCTTTTCTAAGTAAAGATTAATATAAAAACATGGAACAAACGATTAACATAAAAATAATTAGAACAATGGAGATACTATCTCTTATCGATGATTACAAGATTTAATTGCGTGCATCATTCTGCATATAGGAATATTAAAGCATAATCATTAAAAATGTAATACTGTGCGTATTGCATTTGCACAGTTGCACTCAAATAAAAAATTATATCATCAAAAGATAGTTCTCGTTACAAAATTCAACTTTCTCTTATATCAATGTCTTCATCTATCCTGGAAATGAGTTAAATCTGGAACTATCCTCTTGTGTAATGGAATTAATGAAAATGTAATTTATAGTTGGTAAAAGCAATACTGAACAGGGTACTATTCTTCAGGATAGCTGCATATAATGGTTGCTATAATGACGAGTCTTATGTGTAGCAATGAATATTATAATGTAAAAATTAATAATGGAATTTACACCTTAGTCACGTTTAATTTAATCACATCTAAATTGCTTACAAGTATCGAAGATGTATTATTAATACTTCCAACTTTTTCGAGGCGATTACTTATGCAAAGTGCCCGATAAGAGAGCGAAAGTGAAAGAAACAGGAAAGAAAGGATCTTCCAGCGATTAAGACTGGTCAAAATGGCGCGATGGAACGATCGGGTCGCACAACTCCGAGCTTTCTCTTACGTAATAATATCCTTGCAGCTAATAAGCATGTGTCGCACGTTTCCTTCCTGCAATAGATTTCGTGTAATCGGCGATGAACAGTCGCAATCTTACCGCGACACGAGATCTGATGGTCATCGTACCGTCTAAATAACTGTTCGTTTCTTGCGATAATACCGCTTACGTCATACAGAGTACCGCGGAACGCGAAGTACGCACGAATCGAATCCAACAGCTTCAATCACGTGTTGAACGTTTAAATCACAACACAATTTATGTTTCGCTATAAGCGATTCAAGTGCACCTTGAACTAGTGACTACCGATGGGTAATGAGCATTTGATTACTTCTATTTTGCGCGCGGTTATGCGTGCTTAACGGCATCTCGACGTGTGTCAATGCTCCAACATTAATCTTGAGATGATAATGGTTTGCAGTAGAATCGTTCGTCAGGGAAGTCAAACCAAATTTTTTTTTTCACCGTTTGCTCCGTTATGTAGCAGGTGGGAAACTGGTAACAGAAGTGCAGTATTTACTTTAGTTGTAGTAGACTGTTTAATACTGTTCTGTGTAATAAGGAAGTCGATTTTAAATGAATTCTGTTGAGTGGTTCAAGATTACTTTGATGTTTATTAACGTTAAAGCAAGGTTCTGGTTTGTTTTGATTTTGCTTGGAATATTCGACTGTATTTGGTAATTTTGTAAAAGAAACTTGAAATTATGTCTTTAATATTTCGTGACGATGTTTGAAGAATTATGAGATTATAATTTTCTGTGATTGTGATTTCTTTCTCTAATTTAAATATCTATATTAAAAAATGTTAATAATTGTAATATCAAAAGTAGTTCAGAGAGTTCTCTAATCCAAAGAGACTCAAGCAACGAAAAAATAAAATTGTTCACCAGTAACTAAATAACACAAGTACCAGTTTTCCACTTTGATTTTGTAAATTCATCGAGTAGAACAAAAAAACAAAACTCTGATTTCGGAGTAATTTAAAGTTAAACTCGCTACAGGGCCAATTCAGTATGACACGCCAGTCCTCTAAAAATATCGTAAACAAAACATCAAGTTTCATGGCAACATAATGACCGAGGACGAACCGAATCGGTCACATATCCGCGAAATGAACGAGTTTCTGGGTGTGGTGCTGCGAAAGGTACTCTCTCGTGATCCACGAAGTATCGCATTAACGTGCACGGGCGATTTATAACTGGTTCTATTGGTTGTTGCCATTTCTGTAATTCACGTGGGTATTGGGAGCACCCTATATAGCCTGTTGCCCAGCCTTTCCACCTTTCTCTGAATCTCCGGGATGTTTGCTTCGTTCCTGGCCTGCAAATTTCGTTCTTGACCTTTCGTCCATGAGAGAGTTCAAGGTACAGACGTAAATGCGACTACACATGACTGTACTCCAAGTTTGCTTTGCTATGTCAACTCGTGATAACGTGATAATTCTTAATCGTTCAATTCTGATAAACATTTACAAGAGGTGAAACGCCAGAGATTCTTGTTGTGTAGGAATTCGCGGAAGCGTCGTCGTACATAGGTCAGGCATCGAATAAACATGTTTTTGAGACGAAATTTGACAACAGATTAGGAATAATGAAAGTTCTCGTTAAACTCGAGGACGAAACATACGGTTGTCGTAGGTGAAATTCAAGAATTTTTGTACAGAATACTAAACACTACGTGAAAGTTACACTAAAAAAAAAACGTGACGAGAGATTAGATGTATCTTTGCTATTTTTAAATATATTCTAACACAAAAAATTATGTATCAAATTGAAAAAATGTACTGTCAGATATGTACTTAACGCTTCAGAAAAATTGTTATATTTTTACTACACCAATTACTGTAATCATTCCGAAATTTCTAATAACTGTAGATAAATTCCTTAAATGTGTAATTAAAATATCAGTAAGCAACGCTAAACATTAATGGGATCGTTGATACAATAAGGATACCAAAGTTAGATGGACAGAGATGGCACGAGGCAATGAATTTTATAGCTCGTATCACCGATACGCTATATAATTATAGAATACGACTATAAAAACTTGTTGCTACTTCATTTTGTAAACATGTAGTTCAATCATTCATTATAAATATTACTAAAAAATTTTTAATTTATTAGAGCCGTGCAAAAAGTGCACTCGACATCATGGCTACAATTTCAGAACTCTGTCCAATCCATTCCATTGACACGAATAATTATTCAATCGATAATGGCATCAGTTTGATTGTTATTCAATTTTATTTTTACACCTATCGCGAGCTTGAGATATCCCAGTAATTTCCTCTGCCAACCGCAACGTCTCTTAAATATTTTTATGCTGCACGCCTCGTTATACGTGCAATTGCGTAAATCCTTTTCATTTAACTTTAATTGACGTGTTCAAGATTTGTCTAGCGTGCATAATGTTTTTCGAGAAGCAATTGGCATACTGTGACATTTAAATGGCTGCAATATTCAACGAGATCGTTACAAACATTAAAAACCAGTGATAAAACTTATTTTAAATAGAGTAAATACATACGAACCACGATATCAATTTTGATTTTCTCGTGATTATTTGTTTTCGAATCACGTGCTCCTGAAAATAGCTCATTTTATTACTCAACAAACCAGAACCCTAGCTTAATTGTTGCACAGATAGAACGGACCTCGTGTATAATGCATTAGTAGGAACTCACTGTATGTACACATGCCATAATAGACTTCGCGTTAGTTTAAGCAGATCACGTGCGATATGCTGGCCATCGCGGTAATTGCTCTAACGTTTCAATTGTTTCTTTTCATAAATACGTTACTATTTAAGGAAAAGCTTCAAGCAAGTCACTTTGAAATTTGCATTTTATAAATGTCAACGACTATGGCAACGGCTCAAAGATGCAGCTCGTTGCATATAGGAATGCAATCAGTTATTATGCTCTTAACAATTCTTGAGGTGTTCTTCAAAGGGGACTCCAAGACTTTTTTTTTTAATTAAACAGAAATGGAGTGGAATGTATTCGATGTTTTTATTTTTAATGAAGATATAAAGATTACAATTTTAAATGTGAGATCGTTTACACCAAGACCCTCGGGGGTATTTTGTTATTAAAAATAGAAATAAAATTGCAAAAACTCTTTTGGGAAAATCACGTATATCATAGGACGTTTATAGATCAATTTCAAACACTATAGATTATATTCACAGACAATTAAGATACTTATAGAAAATAATACATGTACAGTCATTGAAATAAGATTATTTGAAATGTTATGCCAGATGTGTTCTGACATAACGACCTGTTGCGTATAAAATTAAAATGAGTTACAGCCGTTTTGAAAATCACTTTTAACGTTAGGATGACGTGCATTTAAGAAAGCAATTAAAATCTTGATCTATCTACATTAAGAAATACGAGAAATTACTCTATCATCGTTGTAATTGACCGTCCATAACGAATAACAAAGTTGAGTAAACGGTATTCAGATTAAAAAATAAAGACAAATGAAAATCCTTCGGCCGACGTCTTTCTTCGGCTCAACTTGTTCCAAGGTGAGCACCTGAGGGATTCGCATGTTTTCATCTTTATAAATAAATCTGGAGTCTTTTCTTTTGCACTAAGAAGACAATTTACCAAATGTTTACGAATAATAGTATACTACAGTTTCCTATAATGCCAATACCAAATTTACAGGGTACGATTATTTAAACCCATTCCGAATTACACAAGGATAGTTACAGAAACTGTTTACATTATCTGTCAATCACATATGCCCAAACATACACCCAAATTCATTTTTGTCTAATCCTTCTGATTAATCCTCGCAGATCAATTTTCCATTTTGACCAGTCAATGATTTATACATTTCACAAGGAAAGTTACAAGTGAATAAACCACTCATTCGTTATCCATATAAAAAAACAAGCGTACATTCAAATTCATATTTCTCTAATCTTTTTTATAAATCCTAGTAAGTCGACTTCCCTCATGGAAGCATCACTTAAATAATAAAAATCTGACAAGAAATTTCTGTAAATTTAGTTTTTAAATAGAATTAATGCAAAGTAATCGTGTTTTCAGGATATCGCTTACCCGGGCCATTGGGAGCAGTTCAATTAGAAAAAGACCAGGCTTCCTGCGGCTCGCGGGGAAGACTCACATGAACATGACCCGAGTGGGTACCGTCGATGGAACTCGAAACCAGTTGCGTGTCGATCGCAGGAAAACGAGCAGCTTAAAGTCCTCGGAGGTAAGTTCACAGCACTTCGCGACTGCGTGACTGTCTAACCGGTACTGTACGGTCCGAGACGATACAAAAAGGATCGGCGACTGAGGAGCAGGGCACGCGAATGCTGCCTCTGTCTTCGGCTGATGCCCGTGGAACACGGGAACCGCATCGGTGCCCCCTCTACTCGTACCTCCTTTCCTGCACGCCTCTTCGATGCTCCGTTACTCCTTCCGTGTAACGTCTTCAAGCCTTATCGGATTCATACGATGCTTATCCTGAAACGTTATCGGAAGTACAGTGGGTTAAAAGAAGCATGGTCACTTTTCAAATTATATCGTTCGGTATTTTATTTCTGATTGCGCGATAGTTCGTTTCGTGATTATTTCCATACCTGTGATCATTTTTGAAATAACATTGCTTAAGATGTTATGTCAAATAACACGTTATTTTGATTCGTAGTTATTTTCATATTTGCGATCACAGTTATATTAGTCAAAATTATATTAAGTAAAATTGTTTATTGTGGGATAAATTCAAATTATTGGACGATTTATTGGACCTATTTAACTGAATTAAAATGAATTCTTTTTGTTGAGGATGATCTCTTTCGTTAAATTTGAAATAAAGTAAAAACGAACTAATTTGTTATTTGAGAAAGCTATTATTTCAAATGAATTTGTATATTTTTATTATCACTTTATGCAATTGATATGATATACTTTAGTGTCTGTTAACGCATACATACAACTGATAAAGGATTCTCCGAAGAGGGCATTAGGATTTTTTGTTTTAATAAAAGTGTCCGATTACAAAAAAAAAAATAAAATTCTAAAACCCATTTTGGAAAACCCTTTAAACTCTATCAGAACACTTAATAATAAACACTTAATTTGAAGAAGTATGAATTAAAACCGAAAGTTTCGTAGTGAAAGGAGTATTGCAATTCAATTAGTTAATGTATAATTATTTGTATGGAGAAAGGAATGTGGTATCAGTCTGAATTAATAATATTTTAAATATATTTATGTTATATTCATAACTTGACTATTGATATCAAGAATTTATCAATTATATATTTTGATTTTAATCATTACTTTGATCATTGCTATAATTAATACTTATTTATTAATAGTAAATTATTTACTGAGCAGGAGGATGGCAATTGCTAATTCTTTGAAACCTAAACGGTGATGAGTCTTTCTCCCTCACTTCTGTGTGTACAGACATTTCATATCCGAATAATAATCCAAGGTTTTTTAACTCAATGTAGCTCGAGGTAAGATTTTTGTGATATCAAAACAATGCGATAAAAAGGCAGATAATAAAGAGTAACATAAAGCTGCGTAGTAAAACTCGGTTGGCCACTGAATTAAGATAAAGAAACATTTTTTATTGGGATTACTTACTGAATTTATCTACATTCCAATATTTGAACTCTTCAGTCCAAGTCAAGTATAAGTTGTCCCGAAAGTTTCTTTCGTTTTATTAATAATTAATATATACACAATATTTTATGTTTTCTGTTACATTACTGAATTGTGTACGATTCATTTCGCTCCATTACTGTTACAGCATCAATGTCTAAGAAATTAGATTGTCTATTTATATAAATACTCCCACAGAAAATAATTGAATGCAACTCACGAAAGAAACTTTTGAGACAACCTAATACAATTCGTCGAACTGAACTCAAATATCCATTAAAGGCGCCTATTTGGCAATTTCAATTATCGAAAGAATTACAAAGATAATTATATCAAAATTCGACATTATAAAAATGTCTCTATATATTTAGCTATAGCATACCAAAACTTCGTAAGCATACAGCTATATTCCAAAATCAACCACACTCAGCAAAAAATGTAGAATACTTGCTCTTCTATTTGTCTTAAAAGAAAGAACAACTGTAGTCTAAATATACAAACACATTATTACTTATCTATTTAAATACTTGGATAGAAAATACTTGAACCTGAAATTACTGGAATAGTTCCAGGTCTACTTAAATCCGGAACGAGTTACATACAAATTCTACAGTTACGCAGATTTTCTTTTTATTTGAAGCCTGAGGAGTCTCTTATCGTGTTTCCTCGGTTGGCTGCTTCGTAACACATTTTGCTAATATTTTCCTGGTACTTAAATATTATCAACAGCAAAAATATTCTAGCCAGACGTTGATTTAAATATGACATTCTTATTCCACTCTAATTTTATATTCATTTTCTACAAATGTAAGTAGCCCGGATTCGATGCTTTTTTTCAGTAGCATTCTCTATTGTCTGATTACATTTGCATAATTAATTCCATATTTAAAGTAATGAATGGGTTCGCGTTTCACAGTTTTACGTACCGTTACGCTTCTCACCGCTGCGTTTCCTCTACTTCTTTCCACACATTTTCCATAACTGTACAGCTCCATTACGCGTACTGTGTGAAAAAAAAAAGCCAAAAGTTAATTAGATGTGCGTGACGAGGCATGCCATTAATCAAACGTGTAATATAACGTATACTTAATAATATCTTGTACTATCAAGTGTCTGACAACAATTACAGTTTTTATTATGCACTCGACGCATGACGTATGGGATTATTAAAGTCTAACGCTAGAAGTGCTCTCAGTCGTATTTATGTACCTATTTTCAAGTTGGTACTTGTCAGTTTAAACGTAACATTATTGCTCGAATGCAATTAAACTTTCTAATACGGTGATTTATTGACGAAAGTCATGGGACTGCATCACAATGATCAAAACTCTAGTTATTTAATACTTCACTTAAATTTGCAAAGGGACACAAAGATACTTGTATATTTACGTTTAGTTGTCTCAGTCTATAAAAAATAATATAAATATACAAATATGTAAAAGTTTTATATTAAATATTTTTAAGATAGAAAGGCTCATTATAAAGTCTGCACTATAAATAAATTTTCTAATACGACAATTCATTGAAGAAAGTTATTAGTAATGAATTACATTTTATTATCTAATTCGTAACTATTTCTGAATATTAATAATATATTAATATCGAAGACGTGAAAAGATGTGAAAATATTTTCATGTTTTAGTATTTTAACTATGTTCAAAATAAAAGGTTTATTATATATCTTTAATCACAATTATACTTTCTAATACGATGCTTCATTGACCAAAGTCATGGGTAGCAGATTACAAATAACGAAACTCTAGTTTCTTATCTGATATCGTGCAAGAATCTATGCTTTGAGACTTAAGACAAATTTCATGGAAATTCGTTTCACGATTTAACGCATCAGTGCGTTCTATACAATTCATTCTTCTTAACAGATTCCTGATGGATATTCTGCCATTCTTCTCGCATTTTTTCCATTATTATGTTACGAACAGTGTGTTAGAGGAAGCGTGGAACGGTGAGTTTGATAAGCTAGATAACATTCCATCAGCTCAGTGACATACTCGAATATGAGGTTTAACCATGCGTGATAAACATTTACAACACCGACGTTCTCATAATGAATCGTTGATACACAATAGACAGATAATAGGAAATTGTATTCGGACACGCGAGTTTTCATTACGTTTACACATGCATATATGTACATATATACCTATCTCACGTTCTATAATTGAAGATACGTGTAAACTCTTCAAATAAAACATTCAATCCTCAGTTTTAATCGACTTCGAAAAGGAGGAGATTACTCAATTCGACATGTACATGTTACATATCTTCAGAGACGAGTTTCTATCACTTTTTCACATATATAAATACCTATCGTATTTTCAGAAAAATGATTTTCTACGAATAATAAATGCCACGACATTTATTAAAAAATATTGCAAAATACCAACGCAAGATTTGCACATTACCTGTTCAGTTATTAAAGTCTTTTGATAAAAATTATGTCTACTATGTTTAAAAACAATAATATAAACCATATACAATACATATGTACATGTGCAATTCTACAAATTGTTTCGTCTTGAAAAATTGTGACGTCATTACACTAAATCTCACTAAGTCATACTTCTAATCTTCGTCACGGAGATTATGTCTTGGGCCAATTACACGTAACTTTACTGTACTGTGAATGGAAAGAGGACAATTTTGAAAAGCTGACTACTACGTAAACTTCGAATACAAGAGAGTCTCCTAGATTCGTCGTTAAGGAAAGTGTGGACTGAACGATAAGGTTCTACATTGATTGAGAACTAAGTCAACATACTTTCTACATGTCATAGCTGTAATTAACGTTAGATACTTTGTTTAGAGTCAACTACATAGTACATAGCACATGGATTTAGTAGAAGATTCTACCGGTTGCTAGCGGCAAAGCTTTGACGTCGCAATGAAAATTTGTCTTAGTCATTCAGATACCAGACATTATTATAAATCATTGTAGAGAAATGGAATGACGTCTAGTTTTCAGAATGAACATCTGGAAATCGTTTTCAATATACAAATATTTTTGTATCTGATTCTCAGGTCTGTAAAATGAAATTTGATTTACTATAATATTATGGTAAAGTTTTGCTATGGTAAAGGCGTCGTTATTCGGTTTCACAAATTTTTAAATATTAATTAATATAAGATAACACAGTATTGAAAATCGTAGAGGAAGATAAGCCTTTATCAACATTTTATTTATTAATAGACTATGTTGCTATGAATGCTCATTTGAGCAGACGATGGATATTCTAAATGGATTAGTTAATAAAATAGTTAAAAAGCTAATAAAGACAAAAGCTCTAATTTGATAGAAAATAGAAACGGGAAGACGTTAAAAAGAAAATAATTTATTGAACAAATGGGAACGTTTCTAACAGACATCTATGCGCTTAAAAATGAACATTGTGCATCAGAACTAGTTTTGTGTCGATATTTCAGTTCGCTCGACGATTAGCAAAAGAGCAACATTATTTTTTGTATTTTTACTGCATTTAAATTTTCAAAGGAAAACAAAGATCAATATATACTTGTAAATAAATTTTATTTTCCAATTCGTGGTCTTTTTTAAAAATTAAAAATATATTATTTCCGAAGATCATTGCTCTAAAAATATTTTAAAGTTTTAGTATTTTAAACAATGTTTAGATATTATGAAATCGT